GGTTACAGGATTCCCAAGGGAAGCCGAGGACACTAACAGCTAGGGACACAAGATGGGGGAATTGGTTGGAACACGGGGTCTGGCAGATCAAGCACTTATGGTCCCAGAATGATAATAGATGGAAGACAGGGACGGAACTGAGAGCCACGATGAAAGGTTGTCATAAGCTTATGGAGAATCTAAATGATGTTCTAATCTCCATTCCGCAAGAATGGACGCAGTTGTTGAGAGGGCCGTACAAATGGGAATGGGGTGATTGGGCGACCTGGCATATAAGTACAGTTCCAGAGCAGGCCTTCCGGGTGCAGCAGGAAGTGGGCCTTGATAAACAGTGGCTTGATGCAGAGATGTTCGTAATTCGTAATCCGGGAATCACAGTGAGTCACCTGGATAAGGAATCCAAGACAGCAATCACAGCTAAGAAGTGCCTACTCAGGTAGATCAGGGTGGTAGAGGATGACGAATTTACAGTATTTGCACCCACGGTGGCCATTGAAGATTTGGAGTACGACCCGGCGGAATGGGCATGGAATATTAGGGTTGGAGAGACACGAGTGACAACGAAGATTAACATTCTCCGCTATACAACGAGACTGGGTTATAGGCTGAGGAGAAGATCGACCCATCTGGACCTTCCCCTAGCCTTAAGATGGGAAAAGAGGGAGGGGATACAGAGAGACCAGGTGGGGAAGTTGCCTGGTCGTCCCTTCACAGTATAAGATTGGGTAAGGTCAGAAGTCTACAATGGCTCATCCTCCACGTGGCCCTCCCAGTCAACTCTTGGTTGTATGAAAGAAGAAGCAGGCAAGCTAGGACAGAGGAGGAACGAAACTGTACCCTGTGTACGGGTGGGGCTCTGGAAACGATGGTCCACTGCTTAATCTCATGCTCGGAGGCAGAGAAGGTGTGGGCGTTAGCTCGCGCACTATGGTCCCGGGTCACGGAAGTTCCCTTCCCTCCGATCAGAGACAGACTCCTAATCAACATGGAAGCGCCCAGAGACTGGAATTCCTGCCAAAAATACATTTTCCGGCTACTGAGGCTCTACACACTGTGGACAGTGTGGAAAAGAAGATGCCAAAGGGTGGTAGGAGGGAATCATATGACTATAATGGAAGCCAGAGGAATAATGTACAACCTGCTGGAAACAGAAATCAGGGCACAATGGCAGAGAGCCAAGAAGCAAGCGGAGAGGCAGGAAGAATTAAATCCAGATAAGGCTAAGGAAATAATTAACAAGTTTCAGACAAAGGTTCTAGCAGGGGGCAAGGTGGCTTCATTGGAAGGGAAAGCCTTGCGCTTCCATTGGTTTAAGGACGATCTCCAGGACCCGCCTTATGAGGACGAGAATGGGGACCAGGAGCTGGGACTACCATAAACTGCGGGAGGGAGGAGTGATCTGCAGAAGAAACCGCAAAGGGAGGGAACCTCAGACCCACTTAAAATAAATCTAACTTCGCAAGGACAGGACTGAGATACAAACGGGGCTGGGGCAAAAGAGAGGGAGCAGCAGGGAAGGGACGTACAGCCAAGGAGGTCAAGTATTGAAGAGGGAGAATAAGGGACACGGGACACCAATTAAAGGCAGAGAAAGGGGTTTTAGGGAACAGGGGGGAACACAGCTTTTGTGAATAATTGGTAAAAAGAGGAAGGTAGATCACATGGCAGCAAGGGAGGATCTCTTCCTAGGTTGAACAGGAATTTCAGGCAGATCTGTTAGGGAAGATCTGAGAGGGAAGAGAGACTCAAGGCAAGCTGACAGTCAATCCTCCACCAAGGGCGGAGTAATCAATGCTGTTCAGGGGTCCTCCGGCCGGACGGGAGGAAGCGTGTGTTCTTACTCTGTAATGTATTATGCTGTGACTTGCCGGTGGAATAGGAACCGGACTGACGCTCCCCAGAATAGAAGGAGCTTTTTTTTTTTGAAAAAAAAAAAGAAAAAAGAAACACAGTTTCTGCAGTCCAGTCAGGCCCCAAGTTGGAAATGCACTTTAAAGTTTAAAGTTTAAACACGACTTTGCAGAAAAGTCTGCGCGGCTGAGTTTCAAACTGCAATTCAGTTTTCCTCGTGGGCCATGGCTCAGGGTCTGCCCCTGGGCAGTCGTCCGAAGGTCGGAAAGGCCGGAAGGTGGCCGGGGGTCCAGGGTTGAACAGGTGTTCGAATTCAGCGGGCACCATCTCCCCTCTTCCTCACTTTTTCCCTCTACCGTTGCCCTCTTCCTCTCGC